ATATCAAAATTATTTAGCCACAAGGAAAGACATTCCTTTTTCATACAATGTATTAATCTTTACCAGAACCATATAACTGAAATTTAAAATATATCTCTGCATGTTTATATGCCAGAAATTGTATTACATTTAAAATACAAAATAACTTTTTACGTTATACTATTTAAAATTCATTATATTATTGATGTTTAGCAAAGAATCTTGTTTTCATAATTTATCCTATTTATAATATACAAATTTGAAATATGGATAAATAATTTTCAAGTACTTTTTAATTGCATTACTTAGTATACACAAGTATACATTGCATATAGCATATGTATACGCATAATATTAATAAATAAGCGTACTTCAATACGCTACTCGTTCGTTACGTTTTTGCACAAAAATTAAATTACGATAATGTTGATGTTCCACCCCAAGTATGTATTAAGTTCAAAGTTTTATTAAGTTTTGAACACCACTCTAATCTATCTTCCTTTGTATCAGCTGACAAAAGATGCCTACAAATGATTTGTAATTAAAAAAGTAATCAATCTGATTAATCGAATAAAAAGCCTGCAAAATGCCTACCTAACTGTTGTCGTAGGTCCGTTTCTGATCATAATCAAACTCTCCGTATCTTCAGCTTCGGAAGCTCTAATTGTTTCAAGTAAAAAGGTATTAGGACGAGCACAAATATCTCGAGAGACTAATCCTACATTTGTTGTACTAACACCTAAAAATATAAAATAAAAAAGATATATCTTTCACTGGAATGATATATTAGAATAGATTATAGATATGAGCAGCTACCTTGTAAATCTAAGCTTCCAATGGGAGTCCTTTTTCGCTCATCATCAGGATATTTCCAATACGACAGTGTAGAACCTTTGAGCAAACACCATCTACGATGCCAAGCGCCAAATCCAGAAACATCTTCAAACATTGTGAGAAAACCTCTATGTTCGACTGCTACTGAAAGTTCACACGAAACGTGCATTTGCAATCGGCCTTCCAATGGAGATTGTGATGGTACCTGTGAATTATTAGTAAAAAAAAATTAAGTAATTTTTATTAAAAATAAAAATTCTCATATTCGATACCTTACCTTATTCAATGTAAATTGTTGTCTATGTATTTCTTTTAAACTGAAAATAACATAGCCAGATAGTTGGAAAGCTGGAGATCTAACAGCGGATGGTCCCGCTGGACTTTGAACATTAGGCATTATTAACCGACTGTCTTGTTTTAAAAATTTCTTTGGAGTTTTATTTACCAGCTACAACATATTTAAATATTTAGTAAAGTTACATAGAAATAGTCTTAATAGCTTCTTTTTTTTTTGTACAGACATAAAGACATATTTACCTTTTTATTGCAATTATTATTACTATTACTACAACCACTACCGTTGTTAATATGATATTTAATTTCATGTGGCAAGATTTCAGGCTGTGTCTGTAGCGAGTATATCTCAACAGTAATTTTAAAATCATTGTATAGATCGTTTAGTTTCAGTGTTGATGGAAATCGAAGACACGAATCGCCAGGTTCTGCTACAACTACCGGAGTAGCAACTATTTCTTCCAAATGTCGCATTAAACAAACAAAATGAAGACACGTACCTAGAATTTAAAATAAAAGAGAATTAAGTGTTTATTTACTCAATTCAAGTATTGTTTTTAAATTACACTTGTTATATACAACTTACTTGTGCCCATATTACGATAGTAATCCCGTTTAAGAGGTAAAGTAATAGCAGAAACTGTTAGCGAACCACTCTCTTGTACTTCTGGTGATCCAGGACTAACAGGTTTCAAAGTACCTTCTACTTTCAATCGTTGTACTTCATTTAGTGCAGCTTGTCGCCTATGAGCTACAATGAACAGTATTTTATATTATTTAAGTGGTATATAATAAAAAAAAATAGTTTTATAAAAATGTGTGAGAATTACTAGCAAGAAGCAATAATCTTTCTCCTTCAACTTGCTCCCTTGAATCATTGAATTCCACAGTAGAAGTACACAAATTCAATGCTTGACTAGCTTGGCCAATAATTGTCTGTTGCTTGCACACTTCATCAAGCAATCGTTTCACTTTTTCTTGTACTAATATTGCTTCGTTCTTAGCGTCAAGTTGCGTTGCATCAGGAATAGTATCAACTGGTTCTTGTGTTCTCGATATTATACGTACTGGTGTTTTCGGAGTCTGAAATTAATTTATTTGTTAGTTTTACATTTAAAAATTAGAAATTTGAAAAACTTAATTTCAAATTAAAAAATTGTAACATTTATTTAGCTTACTTGAGATTGCTGTCGTCTATAAAAGCTAACACTATGCAATAATGGCACACAATTATCACCGTCTAAAATGTAAGGCTCTCCCATTTTAGGTGATACTGGAGAAATTTTTTTTATAGGCGAACGATACGATGATCTTAAAAAATAAAAAATTGTTTTAATCTAATTGTTACATTTTATTAATGCTATTATTGTCTTTGTTCTTACCCTTCGCTATATTTGAAGCTTGTTGATGCTGTTGATGGACTTTTACCACCTCTGTTTAATTTAGGCGGAGTTGGCCCTTCTTCCGTATGCAAATTTGCATTTTGCGCTTCCTGTAGGGCAAGACATTCATCTAAATACTCATCCATTTCATCCAATACTGAAATATCAGAAGTTGTACTATCTGGATCTGGATCAATTGATCTCTGTAATTATATCATTAATGTATTAAAACAATAAGTGCTAGTTTGAAATATTCATACACACCTTTTTGTTTAGAAAATTTTGTTCATTTACCGCACGTAAAATACTTCTACCAAGACTAGTATTTACTTCCTCTTCTCCTTCGTTACTATCGGTCTCAGTTCGATCATCCTACATTTAAGTTAAAATCATTATATCATATTAAATTTGAATTGTATATTTCATATTATTATTATCACTATCAAATTCATATTCTTTTGAATTATCTCACCTGCACATAGTACTCAGCTTCTGTGCCTGTTTCAGTATCAGTTTTCTCATCCAACGTAGCCGTTTCTGCCTCTGTACTATTAATAGTATATTCCGTATCAGTTTCTGTTTCTGTTGTATTTTCAATATCAGAAAGATTAGGATAAAGACGTCCAGGCTTAGGTGGAGCAACACGAATTCGTTTAACATCAGAAACTATTTTCACTTGTGTTGTTTTCGGTGGACTTCCCACAACTTTAAAGTACGACAAATTAAAATATCTAAAAAAATATAGCATTTACAATTCATACCTTGTCTTTTAACTGGTGAATTTTTATTTTGATTCATAGTTAGTTTCTCATTAGAAATATGTGATTGCGGTGGAGGTGGTGGAGGAGGTGGAACCACATCCTGCAAAATTAATATTTCACTTATTCATTATATTTTACAAGAATTTACAAGACTAAATGTTCACTTACAGGTGCGGGTGTTGGTTTTACTGGACAAACTGGAGAATTTTTAGGTGAATTTGATTTTCCTTCGCTACTTTCGCTGGTTCTAATACATGAACCTGCAGCTGCTTGTGCCATTTCCTTGTTCCTATTAAAACGTGAACGCAACATATCCAATTCACGTTGCCTTTCCAAATAAGTATTGCGTAAAATATTATTTTCTAGTTCCTGCATATTTAAGCCTTGTTCAAATTTTTCTCGCTGAGCATTAACGGCATTACTAGGAATATCAGCTTTAGGCCGTTCCTTTACTGTAACAGAATCTTTATATATAAGATCACACTAAATTGTTGCTTTATAGTTATAATAATTTATACTTTTGCAAATACGCTTATTTTTAATATTAAAAGTACCTCCGTTGTTTGCACGCCCGTGATTTCCACTGTTCGATGAACTAGTCTTATCTTTCTCCTGTAATTTCTTTGGTGGTATAGACATAGTAAGGGGTGCCTTAGGTAATAACGGTGCTTCTCCTTTGTTCTTTTCAAAAAGTGCCATTCTCTCAGAAAGTGTCATTTGGATAGGATCTTTTGCTTTTGCTTCTGTATTTTTGGATTCAAATAACGAAGCTTTACTTAATACTGAACCTGGACTAGATTGGGAAGGACTTTTAGGAGAGCCATTAAAACCAAATCTAGATGTCAATCGACTGCCATTTGTATTCGATGTAGCATTTCTTGATGCTTTTTCTGGAGTATTAGAATTTTTGCTATTGATATTTTTTGGAGAACCTTCCGCTTTTCTACCGTGTCTTTCTTCATAAATTGTCGTGATGGTTCCTTGATTTTGCCGAAGATGTTTATGCGGTGAACTCGAAGAACCAGCTTCTTTTTCCTGAGAACAAGCCTTATAGTCATATACAAGGCGACTATTGCTTTTTGTACGACTAAAGCCTTGAGCCTCCTGTAAATAGTATTTTGATCTGACAGATTCAATTGTTTGTAACACTTTTGCTCCCTTATCTTCAATACAGTCAATATGTATGAGAAGAAGTAAGAAGGTAAAAATTATACTTGTCGTTATTAATGTAATATTTATCTGTTACTTCACAGAAAAACTTTAGAAAGCTTTAGTCATATACAATAAATAAATAGTATTTAAAATTGAATGAAATTACTTACCAATGATTCCAATGTGGTCTTATCCCATTTTAATTGCTTTGCAGAACATAGTTCTTCTTCCTTACAAGTAGCTCCTTTACTGTTTCTATTTGCTTTATTATATCCACTTGTACTTGGTTGTGGTTCTGATGCATTTCTTACTTGTTCATTTAATTTTGCTTGTATTTTATTTGCTTTGCTATCTACTGATTTAACCTGACAAATATTTATATTATTTAGTTAAGTTCCTTAACTATATTAATATTTAAAAATGTTTATAATCAATTTACCAAAGTTGGATGTGAAAGATCATCCTCCCAGTTATTAATTGTTGAAGCAAGGGCTGCTAATCTATCAAGTCTAGCTCCTTTCTTGAATGGTTTTTGTTCAGTGGTTTCTTCTTCTGCATAAAACTTTTCTTCAGTTCTGTGAATGGGGGAACTCAACTCTCTGCTACTGTCATCTATAAAATAAAAAAATTTTTAGAATCTTTATTGACCAAATTTATAAATATTACTCAATTTTATGAACATGATACAATAACACAACAATAAAATAATCATACTATTTAACTATTTATTGTAGAAAAATGTGGAAAAATAAAATTAATTAAATCTGAAAGCAAATCAGAACAACTATCACAGAATAATTGTGTTTACTATTCACACAAGAATTGCATGAAATAAGATATGTATATATATACTGGAGTAAAGTAGTGTAAGAAACCAGTTTGATCCAAGCTGTGTAGGTGTACTATGTAATGTGGCTTACCAGAGTACAGTTTGCCAAGCCTCTGTAACTTTGACCTCACATTGCAGATCCCAATCTCTCCATTCTCTTTATTTATGTATTCATCATTTTTATTAGGAGCACTTTTAGACATAGATTTTCGTGGAGACTTTGCTGGAGATGTGTTCTCTACAGATACTTTAGCAGGAGACTTGGTTGGTGTTTTACTCTTAGTAACTTTAAATATAAAAAAGAGATATTTTAAAAATTAATACCTGTAGCCTGTGCCAAAATAGCATTTGCATCCTTTAAAGGACTACGTCTTGTTTTTACATCATGTCCTGCATTTGATAATTGAGTATCTAATTTTTCTCTCCTTGCTCTAGCACGCTCTAACATCCGCTATTTATTTAAATTAATTTGTTATTATTTCAGACAATGAATAAATAAAACAACTAACAACAGTTTAGTTCTTAAAATTAATATTACTCCGTAATTGCAATTTCGTTAAAAATCGTACAACTTGTTAATGTAAAGTGTACTAAAAAGAAGAATCTTTTAGTTGTCCTTAGAGGGAAATTTCCAAAACACCGTAAAACTAGGTACCGCTGTATTTGCGTACTACAATTGAATGAAAGGACCTTACCTGAGTAAAAGGGTCCATTGTATGATAAACGGTATTATCCTAATCCCAACCCAAGCGACGCTCTATAATTACTTTTAAAATATTGACGACTACTTTCTACTAAATTTTATACACTATATCGAAAAATAACAACACTTATTCGTTCAAAGAAATAGAATGCTCCTTTACATTGCACGCATTAGACTCGCTTCCAACCGTTGAATTTAAACGTAACCGCCATAGTACTCAAATGCGTGTGAATGACTAAACGTGACAGCTTTTATTTTTCAACGTTTCGTGTCGATATTAATCGTACAATAAGCGTTACAAATTCACGTTGAATACTTGTTGTTCAAATGCTAACGTTTTCACGTGATAAAAGCAACACGAAGTAAGGAAAAATTTCGCACAATTCAAACATGACAGAAAGCGTCGCAGAAAACCAACCGAAGCTCTTCGTAGGATTGGAGCAACTACAGAGCTATAAACGTCATAAAGCCTGCGCCCAAAGAGGGGCAACGTACGTTTGCATAGGGCCGTTTGAAATGGAGCATGCTTATTGGTCGATAGAGTATGGAATGTTTGCGATAAAAATCATTTAATATAAAAATACAATTCAAATTTTTAAATTAAAGAAACTATAACTTTTGTAAAAATCATTTTTTCCTTAAAACTTATCGTTAATGAATATTAAAAATTAATATCAAATAATAAAAATAACAGGTGACAGTTTATAAAAAAATATTTTTATTAAAAAATTGTCAGTTTATTTAATACATCCACAAATTACGTTGTAAATATTTTAGTATTTCTGATATAATATCAGAGACAGAATAACTAATACTTCTTTCTTTTGAATACCATTAAGAATTGCACACATATCTAATCAGTGCAATCAGGAATGTTACATTTTATGAATCTGTTGTCTCTCAAACGTGGGATGATTCATCGCCGGTATCAGCTGCCATAGCTTCACGATTTTCATACGCCCAAAAGCCGTGGAATTCTATTAAAATACTGACCATTGTATCACCCTGCCCACTGGAAAATATGAATCATAGAACAGATTAGAAAATCTTTTATCTTTACTCGGGAAGACAATTATAGGCTTATAAGAGAGTGAACAATTATTTACCAGGATAGTAAATCCTGTAATGTAATTTTACACGGATCTGCTGGCTTTACCATATCGAATATTTCGTCTTTAACATCCTCAAAACTTACTGGTTCTTGACCATGCATTGTCATTTGCTCTTGTATTGCCTGAAATGCAGATTAAGTTGTTAATAACGTATACCGCAAAATAAAAAGTTTGTACAAAATATTTATATGTATACGTACGCGGAAAAAATAATTAAGGCAAAAAGTGTCCAAATAACCACGATTATTTATATCAAGAATTCTAAATAAATAATGTAAACTTTGTGGTTCATGTCGGTTTTCTAACGCCAATACAAAGTCTAAATATGTCTTATAATCCATTTCTC